ACAGGGAAGAGACCAAGGCCTGCTGTGCTGGGACTAATCGCCCAGATCTTTGAAGTGCCTCCCTTCTCCTAATCTTCTGCAATAAAATGGGAAGCCTGCAAATGTGGGCCAGCTTGTCTAGGAAGGAGACGACTCTATCTTTCAAGGCAGCCGCCTCCAAGCCCAGAGCCAGGCCTATTAACTCGGTTTATCTCCTCCCACAAGGTGAAGGGAAACATCCACGAGCTGGGTATTTCAACACCTGCTGCTTTTTTTTTTATCTCCTGGCTCCTGCTGCTATCATCTGAGGCGCTTAATTACCCTCTTTGGACTTCTCCCGGGGAGAGAGAGAGAGAGGCAGCCCACGGCCAGCGGCACTTTAGACGGACAGCTAATTATGTGGCGCTTATCAGCATAAGAGGCTGCTCCCATTTTCCAGGTCTCCAGACCTTGACTTGCCCAATTTGTATAAACAGAGGCCCAGAATCAAGATCACGGCGAAAGTGTTACTGAAAACTCTGGTGAGGTCACCTCTGGAATATTGCAGCCAGTTTTGGTCACCCTACTTCAAAAAAGATGTTGAGAGTTTGGGAAAAAGTGCAAAGAAGAGCAGCTAAGAGGATCAGAGAACTGGAGACTAAAACATACGAAGAACGGCTGCGGGACTTGGGTTTGGCCAGTCTAAAGAAAAGAAGAAATAGGGAGACATGATAGCAGAGTTCCAGTATTTGAGGGGCTGCCCCAAAGAAGAGGGGGGGGTCAAACTATCCTCCAAAGCACCAGAGGGCAGGACGAGAAACAATGGTTGGAAACTGATCAAAGAGAGAAGCAGCCTGGAATTAAGGAGAAACTTCCTAACACAGAGGGTAATTAACCAGTGGAACAGCTTGCTACCAGAAATCGTGGGTACTCCACCACTGGAGGTTTTTAAGAAAAGACTAGACAGTCAGTTGCCTGAAATAGTACGTTCTCTGCTTGAGGGTGGGGGGGTGGTGGACTAGAAGACCTCCAAGGTCCCTTCCAATTCTATTCTGTTCTGTTCAGTTCTGCTCTGTTCTATTCTAGTGCATTTTGCTCTTTCCAGCTCTTGACGACAAGCAGTCCTCAACTTATGACCACCACGGAGCCCAAAATTTATGTTGCTCAGAAAGCAATTGTTAAAGAGCTTTGCCCCACTTTACGACCTTTCTGGCCACAGCTGTTAAGTGAATCACAGCTGTTGTTAAGTTAGGAACACTTCAGTAGGTCTGGCACCTGTCTTCCCCCACTGACTTTGCCCATCAGGAGGTCACCAAAGGTGATCCCGTGATCCCGTGATCCTGGGACACCCCAACCTCATAAACCCATTCATTTAGTGACCGTTTGAAGTTACAACCTCACTGAAAAAGTGTGGCTGTTTTTAACACTTAGGACTCTTACTGCACCCCCATGGCCCTAGGATCAACATTCAGATGCTAGGCAACTAACTCATATTTATGACAACGGCCGTGTTTTGGGGGTCCTGTGATCGCCTCTTGCGACAAGCGATGTCAATGGGGAAGCCACATTTGCTTAACAACCATGTTGCTAAGATAAGATAAGATAAGATAAGATAAGATAAGATGAGATGAGATGAGATGAGATGAGATGAGGGGATGGGATGGGATGGGATGAGAAGAGAAGAGAAGAGAAGAGAAGAGAAGAGAAGAGAAGAGAAGAGAAGAGGGGATGGGATGGGAAGAGCAGATGGGATGGGATGAGAAGAGAGAAGAGAAGAGAAGAGGGGATGGGATGGAATGAGAGGAGAAAAAAAAGAAGAGAAGATGGGATGGGATGGGATGAGAAGAGAGAAGAGAAGAGAAGAGAAGAGAAGAGAAGAGAAGAGAAGAGAAGAGAAGAGAAGAGGGGATGGGATAAGATAACCTTTATTGTCATTTTTTACTATGGGCACAACGACACACATCAAAAATGAAATTTAGTTGCCCGCTCTCAAAGTGAAACACATACATGACACAACTTCTGAAAAGCAGCACAGGAGTTTTGCAGGATCAAAATTGCAGCCGTTCCCCTCTCACCATAAACAACCGAGCTGGAACATGCCACAAAACGTCAGAAAATCACACACCACAATATGCTTAGTAGGAAAGCAAGCGGAGCATCAGACCTTCGTGCGTCCTTAGTTACATCTGCAGTGTATAAACATTGTCTTCTCTGCTATCCAAACAAAAGGAAGTCCTCCTTATCTCGACTTGCAGTGTGTTTCTGGGGATGATGTTACTCTAAACAGCCTGCCTGCTGGTTTGAATCGCCCGCATCCCCGAAGGGGCAATTACTGACTCCAAGACGTTGTTTTGGGGTGTGCAAATAGTCCTCAACTTACAACAGTGCATTTAGCGACCATTTGAACTTACAGCGGCACTGAAAAAAAAAACTGGCTTAGGAGCATGTTTCACACTTAGGACCGTTGCAGCATCTCCGTAGCTCACGTGATCAAAATTCGGATGCTTGGCAACTGGCGTGTTACCTGTGACGGTTGCTGTGTCCCGGGGTCCCGTGATCACAACCTTCCGAGAAGCAAAGTCAGCAGGGGGAAGCCGGGTTCACTTTACGGCCGTATTACTCACTGAACCACCACAGCGATTGGCTTAATCACGGTGGCAAGAAAGTTGCAAAATGGGGCAAAACTCATTTAACAACTGTCTCGCTTAGCGACAGAAATGTTGAGCTCCATGATGATGGTTATTCTGGTCGAGGACTACCTGCAGTCAATCTGATGAGGGTAGGTAGAGTTTTCTAACTTGGCGTGTATGTCCTAACCTTAATGGGGATGCCCCCCCCCCAAGAAACAGGTGCCTACCTTGCAAGATGGTTTTTGACCCAGCCGTTCGTCGGGATTCATTTCCAATCCCCGTTTTATGAGCCTTATAGCCTTATGTGAGGAGTTTTACATCAAAATGTAAAAGCTGTGGTGCAGCAGTTAGAGTGCAGTACTGCAGGCCACTTTAGCTGATTGTGTTCAGCAGGTCAGCGGTTCAAATCTCACCAGCTCAAGGTTGACTCAGCCTTCCATCCTTCCGGGGTAGGTAAAATGAGGACCCAGATTGTTGGGGGCAATGTAAATATATATATATACATTGCTTACTGGTATACACCGCTTAGAGAGTGCTTGCACTTAAAGCAGTATATAAATCTCATAAATAAATAAATAAAATATATGTTACTCTTTATGTGGCCTCCATCTTCCCTTAAAATATTAACAGAACCCACAAGGGTCAGAGAATCAAGTGTCTCCACTAGACAGTTGACAGTCAAGCCGAAACTAAATTAATCAAGTAAAAATAGTAAATGGGGGGAAATCCCTCTCTTAAACATCTTCAAACCCCCAAATAAGTTACCCAGAGCTAATCTACATATCAAAGCATAAGGTCTGCAAACACAGGAGTTAATTAAATTAGCTCTCTCAGACGAACTGCGTGTTCACAAGAATAAACATACCTACACACACACACACAGACACACAAACCCCTCAAATGTTCCCATAGAACAGTGGTTCTCAAGCTTTTTATATGGCGACCCCGGTCATAAGGACGCGCCGTGCATGCGCGGCGCCACCCCATGCACGGCGCGCATACTCGGGGCCACCCCCTGCACGGCGCGCATGCACGGCGGTACCCCATGCGCGATGCGCATGTGCAGCGGTGCCCCCTGAGGGAAAAAATGGCGGATCGCGCTGTTTGGCGACCCCCGTAAAATGGTCGTTCGACCCCAAATGGGGTCACGACCCAAAGGTTGAGAACCGCTGCCTTAGAATCAGCATGTAGACACTTCAAGCTGCTGTACCCCCATTTCTTAGCCTGCCCCTAAATATTTTAGGAATAAATATTTCTTTTTTCCTCACAACTGTCTGGATCTCGTTTTCATCTTTTTTTGGGCAACCCCGGCTGGATTCGGACCCCCAAATTATCCTTCTGACACCAGGAACGGTCATACTCTACTCATTCTCAATAAACGGCGAGGACTGCCTATTTTAGCCCAATTCTGGAGCCCTGGTAGCGGTTAGAAGGTGCAGTACTGCGGGCAGACTCTGCCCACAGCCAGGAGTTCGATCCTGGCCAGTTCAAGGTCGACTCAGTCTTCCATCTTTCTGAGATTGATAAAATGAGGATGCAGATTGTTGGGGGCAACAGGCTGACACTATAAACCGCTCAGAGAGGGTCTGTAAAGCGCTTTGGGGGGGGTATATAAGTCTAAGGGCTATTGCTAATTCAAGCACTCGGCTTAATTTACAGAGCTCTAAATAGCTGGAGACCCTCTCTCTATGTCAGGGGTCTTCCAACTTGGCCCTTTGATGACTTGTGGACTTCAACTCCCAGAATTCCTCAGCCAGGCACACGTGCCTGGCTGAGGAATTCTGGGAGCTGAAGTCCACAAGTCATCAAAGGGCCAAGTTGGAAGACCCCTGTGTTATAGCATTTCCTGGTGCAAAAAGTAATTGAGGAGTGGAACAGACCTGGTGGATTATTCCTTCATTGAAGGAATAAAGAAGATAAGCCCTTTTTTGGGTTTGCAGATTGCTCCATTGGACCTAAATGTTCTCCTTTGCACTTTCCGGCCCATTTTATTATTCTAAATGCAGAGAGAGATTGCCATATATAACAATAATGAAACACAATTATGACCTGTCGTGTAATAAAGACTTTTATAATATGCATGGTTGATCATTTGGCTGAGCTGAATCTTGCTGAGATTTCAGAACCACAGGAAAGAGCAATCAATAATCCGTGGAAAATGAAGGAACTCTCCAGTCAGTTTTTGAAATAATTGTGCCACAGAGAGAGTGGTGTTTAAAACAGAGGTCTTCAAACTTGGCCCTTTTATGACTGGTGGACTTTATGCCCTGCTTTATGCCATCTACCTTAAGAATATTAGCAGAAAAACCACTTTTTTATGATGAAAAAGCAAGGCAGGAAAGATTCTCTGTGCAAGACATTTCAGTAAGCTGAAACAGGAAGCACTGGTAAAATTAGCTTTGCCACACTCACCCGGAGCCTATCTTTGGGTAGGGCCACGGCTCCTTGTTTGATAATTTCCAGTACCCGTTCCACGGACAGGGCAGCGCCAGGATGCTCAATCCGTGAGCTAAAGAAGCTGATCACCTGGAATGAAACAGGAAATAAAAGACAGCGACGTGATTTAATTAAGCAATGCCAGGAATCTGTCCGCCACATTAAAAAAAAAAAAACACCAAATTTGAAAATCTGCACAACTGGATTATGGTGATGATTGAGTGGCTTCTTCATGGGAACTGGCCAACTACCCATGTTTCCCCCCAAAATAAGCCCTAAGGCAAGGGTCTTCAAACTTGGCCCTTTTATGACTTGTGGACCTCAACTCCTGCTTGAGCAGTGGGCTGGACTAGAAGATCTAGTTCTACATTTAGGCAAGAAAAACCAAATGCACAAGTACAGCATAGGTGGCACCATGCTCAATAGTAGTAACTGTGAGAGGGACCTCGGAGTCCTAGTAGACAATCACCTAAATAGGAGCCAGCCGTGTGCTGCAGCTGCCAAAAAGGCCAACACAGTGCTGGGCTGCATTAACAGAGGGATAGAATCAAGATCATGTGAAAGGTTAATACCACTTTACAAGGCCTTGGTAAGGCCACACTTGGAATCCTGCATCCAGTTTTGGTCACCACGATGTAAAAAAGATGTTGAGACTCTAGAAAGAGTACAGAGAAGAGCAACAAAGATGATTAGGGGACTGGAGGCTAAACCATATAAGGAATGGTTGCTGGAATTGGGGATGTCTAGTTTAACGAAGAGAAGGACAAGGGGGGACATGATAGCAGAGTTCCAGTATCTCAGGGGCTGCCCCAAAGAAGAGGGAGTCAATCTATTCTCCAAAGCCCCTGAAGGCAGGACAAGAAGCGATGGATGGAAACTCATCAAGGAGAGAAGCAACCTAGAACTAAGGAGAAACTTCCTGACAGTTAGAACAATTAACCAGTGGAACTCCTTGCCTCCAGAAGCAGTAAATGTTCCAACACTGGAAGTTTTTAAGAAGAGACTGGACAGCCATTTGTCCGAAATGGTGTAGGGTTTCCTGCCTGAGCAGGGGGTTGGACTAGATGACCTCCAAGGTCCCTTCCAACTTTACTACTACTATTATTATTATTATCTCCAAGGTCCCTCCCAACTCTGATGGGATATCAACCAGTCTAGCAACGTCTCTAAATATACACCTTATCTCCAGAAATCAGGTAGACAGAAATATTGGCCCTGCCACGGAGACTGCTACTATTTCTTTAATAATACTCCTTCAAGGCCTTGGAAATTGCTTGCTGCTTGCAATTCCTTTGTACTCAAAGAGTTAGACACCCACCTGGAGCCATTAAGCCCCATTAGGCCTTTACAACTCTGCTGCTATTAGTAAAACAAAAGAGAGCTGATGATCTGATTATTCAGGGATTCAAATCAGACACACCATTGCTGCAAGCAACTACAGACGCTGCCTCCCTTATCTGGAGCAGAAGATTATTCCAGCCTGCACCCGGGGCTTTGGAGAAAAAAGTGCAAAGCAAATGAAATTCAGCAGGAAAAGCGTTTGCTGTACTCAATGAATTCTTTCCAAGGTGTGAAAAGCACCCAATTAGAAACAGACTTTTTTTCTTTTTTACAATGTTGCACCACAAAGAGCACTTGCAATAAAATGGAATTTTTTTAAAGGGGGAAAAATGTGCCTTTTTTATCGGCGACATTGGTTCCAGGTTCCAAATACTTTGCAATATTTTTCTTTTTTTATTTATATATATATATTATTTTTCCTTTTTTACTTTACAACAAACAAAATAAAATACATTTTTTTCTTAACAGTACTGTGTTATATATATCTTTACATATTATTTACAATTATTTACATTAATTTTCATGCATTTTTATTTCTCTGTTCTAACCAAACATAGCATTTATTCCATATCTCGTAAAATTCTGTTGCTTCCTTGCCTTTTATTTCTAGAGTAAGCTTGTACATCTCCGCGCATTCTAGTATCTTGTGAATAATCATCTCATTTGTTGGTAGATTTTCACTTTTCCAACACTGCGCATACACGATGCGTGCCGCTGTTATTATGTGTACAATGATGTATTGGAGTTGGTTTTTTAATCTTTGAATTAATTATACCTAATAAAAATAATTCGGGTTTAAGTTCAATTTGTTCATTTGTTATCTCCTGTATCCATCTCCTTATCTGTTCCCAATACATCCTTGCTTTGGGGCATTGCCACCACATATGGTAGAACGTTCCCTTCTTGTTTTTACACTTCCAACAATCCGGATTCATATTTTTATACATCTTAGCCAATCTCGCCGGTGTCAAATGCCATCTATAAAACATTGCAATATTTTTCACTAGGGTCAGGGTGGGCAACCGCGGCCCCTTTACGGCTTGTGGACTTCAACTCCCAGAATTCCCGAGCCAGCCACGCAAAGCCATTTTTCATACTTAGGACCATTGCAGCGTCCTGTGGTCAAGTGGTCCAAATTTGGATGCTTGGCAACTGGCATGTACTTAAGACGGTTGCCGTGTCCCGGGATTATCTGTGATCACTTTTTGCGACCGGGGAAGCCAGATTCACTTAGCAACCACGTTACTAACTGATCAACTGCAGTGATTCATTTAACGACTGTCGCAAAAAAAGATGGTAAACTAACTTAACAACTGTCTTGCTTAGCAAAGAATTTTGGGGCTCAATTGTGCTTCTAAGGACAACTCAGGATAGCGGCCTCCCTCGTTTTAAGCCCAACAGGTCCTGTTAAATCACCACCGATTGTTTAAAAACAACACTTCTTCACTGTGAGTTCACAAAGACATCCACAGAAGTGAACAACTGACAAGGTAGATCTGCCTTCTGCTTTCCCAGTTCCTTTGCCGTTGTTGCTTATCAGATCGATTTGTCTAATAGGAAAATTCTCGACAGAACAAAAGAAATAGCCAACTTGCTACATAACACACATGACTTCAGTCCAGCTTTCGCAACTGCAAGCGAGGGAAAAAAAAACCCCACCACGTTCGCCAGAACGGGATAGTCCACTTAGTCCTGGAACAGACTTTGGCAATAAACGAAAACAGAATTCGTACTAGCCTTGGTTACTAAGTGACCCAGATGTTTTTTATCTACACAACTCAAACCCACAAATCTAAGCAAGCGTCAATTGTGCATTCTGCAAATAACATTAAGCACGGCTTTAGGAATATAAGATGCACGGGGTATCTTTCTTTTTTTCTTTGCACCTTCTGAAGACCAGGGAGGGAAAGCTGGAAAGGAAGCAGCTTCCTGGCTCTTATACAGCCACAGGGGTGACTGAAATCTCTTCGGCAAGGGATTCCTTTGTTTTATAGGTATAGCTCAGGGTAGGCCATCTGGGCTCTTTCATGACTGGTGGACTTCAACTCCCAGAATTCCTGGGCCAGCATGGCTCAGCTTGGAAACCTCTCCCTTTCCCCTCAGCATGGCTGGATCAGGAATTCTGGGAGTTGAAGTCCACCAGTCATAAAAGAGCCAAGATTGCCTACCTCTAGCCTAGGCCACTTTATGACTCGTGGACTTCAACTCCCAGAATTCCTGAGCCAGCATGGGGGAACTATGGCCCCTTCATCACTTGTGGACTTCAACTCCCAGAATCCCTGAGCCAGCCTGGGGGAACTGTGGGCCCTTCATGACTCGTGGACTTCAACTCCCAGAATTCCTGAGTCAGCATGGGGGAACTATGGCCCCTTCATCACTTGTGGACTTCAACTCCCAGAATTCCTGAGCCAGCCACGCTGAGGGGAAAGGGAGAGGTTTCCAAGCTGAGCCAGGTTGGCTCAGGAATTCTGGGAGTTGAAGTCCACCAGTCATAAAAGAGCCCAGGTTGCCTAGCCCTGCCTTGACTTACGATCACAATTCAGCCCCAAATTCCTGTTGCTAGACAAAACATTTGCAAAGTGAGTTTTGCCCCATTTTATGACCTTTCTCGCCAAAATTGTTAAGTGAATCACTGCAGTTGATAAGTTAGTAACCCGGTTGGTAAATGAATCCGGCCTCCCCATTGCTTGCCAGGAGGTTGCAAAAAGTGATCACACGACTCCGGGATACCGCAACCGTCATAAATACATGCCAGTTGCCAAGCATCCAAATTACGGTCAAGTGATCATAGGGATGCTGCCACGGTTGTAAGTGTGAACAGTTGTAAGTTACTTTTTCCAGTGCCGTTGTAACATCATCATTATCATCATCATCATCATCATCATAACAACAACAATAATAAAGTTGGAAGGGACCTTGGAGGTCATCTAGTCCAACCCCCTGCTCAGGCAGGAAACCCCATACCATTTCAGACAAAGGGCTGTCCAGTCTCTTCTTAAAGACTTCCAGTGTTGGAGCATTTACTGCTTCTGGAGGCAGGTTGTTCCACTGGTTAATTGTTTTCACTGTCAGGAAGTTTCTCCTTAGTTCCAGGTTGCTTCTCTCCTTGGTCAGTTTCCATCCATTGCTTCTTGTCCTGCCTTCAGGGGCTTTGGAGAATAGCTTGACTCCCTCTTCTTTGGGGCAACCCCTGAGATACTGGACGGCTGCTTCCATGTCCCCCCTCGTCCTTCTCTTCATTAAACTAGACATCCCCAATTCCTGCAATCGTTCTTCTTATGTTTTAGCCTCCAGTCCCCTGATCATCTTTGTTGCTCTTCTCTGCACTCTTTCTAGAGTCTCAACATCTTTTTTACATCGTGGTGACCAAAACTGGATGCAGTATTCCAAGTGTAGCCTTACCAAGGCATTGTAAAGTGGTATTAACCCTTCACTTGATCTTGATTCTGTCCCTCTGTTGATGCAGCCCAGCACTGTGTTGGCCTTTTTGGCAGCTGCAGCACACGGCTGGCTCCTATTTAAAGGATTGTCCACTAGGACTCCGAGATCCCTCTCACAGTTGCTACTAAAAGACTTGGAAGAAGCCCAGTTCCTACTCGCCTTCTGCTGTAAAGCCTCTGTTTCCTTCTGCTAAAGAGCTCAAGGGATGGTTGTGTGTCCGAGTTTGGCAAAACGTTCTCCGTTGTGTCCTGAGGGAGGCCGGACTGTTCTGGCCTTTTCAAACCCCATTCCTCATGCAGGAAGAAAGGACTCTGAGATGTCCTGCAGGAGCCTTGTTTTTTGTTTTTTGTTTTTTTTAAAAAAAAAAGACGAAGGAAAGACGATGGCGAGGGACAACAGGAAGGCACCATGGAGGAAGTTAATGATCAGAGGTCGCTTCAAAAGGATTCTATCAGCCAGGATCTTCCCATCTTGGCTACTTCTTTGAGTTGCTCTATGCCAGGGGCAGGCCACCTTGGCTCTTTTATGGCTCGTGGACTTCAACTCCCAGAATTCCTGAGCCAGCCATGCTGAGGGGACAGGAAGAAGTTTCCAAGCTGAGCTATGGCTGGCTCAGGAATTCTGGGAGTTGAAGTCCACCGGTCATAAAAGAGCCCAGGTTGCCTACCCGTTCTATGCGCTGGCTGGTGTCAGCTTGGAGGGTGTCCAGCCACCATATTCTTTGGTAGGCTGGTTCCCTTTTACCACTAACTCTTCCAATTGCTTTTTCCAGTGAATCCCCCTGCATGACATGGCCAAAATAAGCGAGATGCAGTTTTGTGATTTTTTTTTTCCTTCTTCTAGCGACATGTCTGATGTTAAGCATGCCAGAACGTGCCTGTTAGTTACCTTTGCTGTCCAGGGAATATACTGGAGCACCCCAGCTCAAAGAAGTCTCTTTTCTCCCTGGCTTGGTTTTTTAAGATCCAATTTTCACAGCCGTAGTTGTGATATATAATTATTAAACACTCTTTGGTTGGCAACTCGGTGAGTTTCCCCAATGATGGGTTTGGGGGAGCAAGTCAAAATACTATATTTTATTTTTATTTTTTTGCAGGATTTTGGAAGACCTGGCAAGAATTATTACTTTTTCTTTTGTTTTCCTGTTCTTCTGCACTGTAATACTTTTCCTACGCTGGCTGGAATAGAACAAGTTTTATTTCGGTGTAAACCTCCCATGCTGATCACTTGATGAAAAGCTTGGAGAAACTATTTTAAACAAATGCATATGAAAACTCTGTTGAACAGTTTTTCAGGAATATATATATTCAGTTGATCAAATAATGACAAGTGGCAAACTGCATTATTGAAATGTCTTTGCCAAAAATTCATTAATAAATTCTGATTTCCAACATTGAGCGTAGATCCAGCATTTTCCAATCATTGTTATACTTGTTGATTTGCTTTTCGAGAGCGTTAAAAAAATTATTTTCGTCTGTTACAATTCCTCTGAGCTTATGGAATAAATAAGCATGGATTTATTTCTTCCAATATACTGATGTTCACAGCTGTGTTTGCAATAAAATAATATTATATTCCTACAGACTTTGGCTGGAGGAAGAGCATATTTTTACTCATTTATTTTAAAATGTGTCTAGATTATTTTTATATGTTTCTTTAGGTACCCTTCAGCGGATAAAGCAGCATATTCTCATATCAAAGCAGCCACAAATAAAGAAATATCCTCTCCTGCTAGAAAGCTGAAGCTATCTGAAGCCCTTTCAAAAGCATCTGATGTCTTCTCATTTCTCTGCCAGGAAATGTGGAGGCATTTTTGGCCAAAGTTGGCTTCTCACAATATAAAAAATATTTAAATTCTCCTATGCTAGCAGCTTTCACATTCCACTTCTATAGAAAATTTAACGGTGGCTTCTTATCGAAAGAAAAGCACAATATAAAGACACTGACATAACCAGCAGATGAACAGTTAAATTGAGAAACAAATGCAACTATTTTAGTGGGAGCTCTCAAATGCAGACGCAAGATGGCAAGTGAAGGGGCCTGTCAAAATAAGGTCTAGCAAATTCCACAGCTTTACATCCAATAAAGTTATTTTTGACCTCTTTGAAAGCATAATCTTCAACCCAAATAATCCCATTATGATGAAAACTTCTTGACTTACAACTGTTCATTTAGTGACTGTTCAAAGTTACAACGGCACTGGAAAAAGTGATTTATGACCGTTTTCACACAATTGCGGCATTCCCTAGGGCAGGGGTAGGTAACCTTGGCTCTTTTACGACTCGTGGACTTCAACTCCCAGAATTCCTGAGCCAGCCTGGCTCAGCTTGGAAACCTCTCCCTTTCCCCTCAGCATGGCTGGCTCAGGAATTCTGGGAGTTGAAGTCCACGAGTCATAAAAGAGCCAAGTTTGAAGACCCCTGGCTTAATTCAGGGGTAGGCAACCTTGGCTCTTTTGTGACTCGTGGACTTCAACTCCCAGAATTCCTGAGCCAGCATGGGGGAACTATGGCCCCTTCATGACTTGTGGACTTCAACTCCCAGAATTCCTCAGCCAGCCTGGTTCAGCTTGGAAACCTCTCCCTTTCCCCTCAGCGTGGCTGGCTGAGGACTTCTGGGAGTTGAAGTCCACAAGTCATAAAAGAGCCAAGGTTGCCTACCCCTGATTTCTATACAAAATAAAAGTAGCTATTTTAAATTTTAAATAGGATTTTGACAGATATTTAGTACATACCAGATCTATATTCTGCATTATATCCTGGAAAGAGGGGTGAGTTCGAAATTGCTCAAAGAGATCCCGCTTATATAGCAGGGCGTACACTAAATTGGGGTTATGATGGAGGGAATTTGTTAAGCAGGAGTTGATTATTTCTAACATCATTCGAATGACTTCTTCAATTACATTCAAATCCTGGGCCTAAAAGAAAGAAACAAAGATATTTCTAGTCAGTACAGGTATTAATATACATATAACAGATATAAGAATACTCCATTTACTTTTTCTCTAGGTTATCGTTCAAGAACAAATTAATGAAACTTTTTAGCAGAGCAAATAATTTTGACAAAACATAATACATTTATTTCCATATTTAATTGACAATATAAATAAATCATCCATCTCAAAAGGTTCAGCAGACTGAGTGATTTTGTTATTTTTAAAAATGTACGCAATTGTATGTGACTTTTCAGATAGCTTTACATACAACAAATGCCTGTGAATTCCATCAAACTGTACAGTTCTGCAGAAATTAGCAGGGTTTTCTTGATAAGACCCCAAAACAATCCCAATGTAATTGTATTTTATTATTTTACACCAATTACACTAGGGATCCTTTTAGTATTCAGCAGTCTGAATGCTCAATAAATAATAAAAGTGTTATGGAAAAATAAGCTGATTCTGATCTTAAATGCCTAGGAGTGAAGGGCTGTTTAGGATATTATAATAGTTGCAATGGGGTAAAAAACTGTCAATGGCAAACCACAGATTAGTCCAGGCGATTTGCCAGGAGTCAATACTTGCCTTGGAAACACCAAATAAATAATTAAAAAAAAAAAAAAAGATTGGGGAAAATTTGTAAGCTGAAATGTCCTCTTTGGAAATCATCAAAAGGCAGAGTTGTGATAGAGTTGTGGGTCCTCTGGTATTCCCTGGGCTTAGTTGTTTTCTTGCAGACATTTCATTACCCAAGTAGGTAACATCATCAATGTTACCCTAGTCCAGGGGTAGGCAACCTTGGCTCTTTTATGACTCATGGACTTCAACTCCCAGAATTCCTGAGCCAGCCTGGCTCAGCTTGGAAACCTCTCCCTTTCCCCTCAGCGTGGCTGGCTGAGGAATTCTGGGAGTTGAAGTCCACAAGTCATAAAAGAGCCAAGGTTGCCTACCCCTAGTCTAGCCATTCATTACCCATGTTAGCCAAAGAACACGGTGGCTGAGCATGATCAAAGCTGACACCAGCCAGAGCATAAACTCAAAGAAATAGAGAGGACTGGAAGATATGTGTAGACCAGGCCCACAGAATTGCCAAGAGGCAGATACAACTGAATGAATAATCACTACCTTAGATGACCCCTTCTCAACAGAAAATAGGTTCCTATCATATTCAAGAGTCTCTCGGATTCATAAATGACCTTCCAAAATGATCATTAGAATAACTAACCATTGTGTTTAATCATATCCTTGGCAGCAGAAGGAATTGCATGCAAAGAAGTTGTAGAGATGAGATGGGAGGTTTTACACCAGGGGTCTTCCAGTTTGGCTCTTTTATGACTTGTGGACTTCAACTCCCAGAATTCCTCAGCCAGGCACGCTGGCTGAGGAATTCTGGGAGTTGAAGTCCACAAGTCACAAAAGAGCCAAGTTTGAGGACCCCTGGTCTGGATCAAAGCCCACAGTTTTATCAAAATGGCCGACTGAGGAATTCTGGGAGTTGAAGTCCACCTGTCATAAAAGGGCCAAGTTTGAAGACCCTTGTTTTATACCCTACTATTGAAAAAGAAATTGAGTGGGATGTTAGCGGAGTAACTCCACACTTCTACCTCCCAATGTAGAAATGTAGCAGGGGGGCTCAAGGAGAAATGCAGTTAATTTATTCCCCCTTTTCAGCTACCCTATACAAGACTAATATTAGTTCACTTTTGGGTTTTTGAGAAATGGGAAGAAAGAAGTTGGCGAACAAGCAGAAAGTCAAGTGTAAAATGTATATAAGAATGGTGAAATACTACCAACAGAGAGTAGAGTACTTCATTGTTTTAAACCAGTGGTTCTCAACCTTTTTAATGCCGCGACCCCCAACCGGTCGTAAGTCAAGGACTACTCAACCAGTCGTAAGTCAAGGATTACTCAACTGGTGCAGCACCGTTTGCAGAATGGGACTTTTGGCGGGCTCAGCAGGGCAGAGACAGCCTGGACAATTCCTATTGGCTTTTGAAAGCCAATAGAATTAGACTCTATTCAAGAGAGTCTATTCTATTGGCTTTCAAAAGCCAATAGAATAAAAGGGAGGAGCACAGCTAAGGAAAAGGGGGGGAAAATGGCCGACTGTGTTGTTTGGCGACTCCCGTGAAATGGTCATTCGACCCCAAACGGGGTCCCGACCCACAGGTTGAGAACCACTGTTTTAAACTATCAATACAAAGCTGAGACATCTCTGAATATAGACATAGCATCAGGGCAGATGTAAACAATGTAATAAAAACATTTCACCATTACTAAAAATGTTTGATTATCCTGCGTAATAACTTTCATACCCAGCTGCAAAACAACTAAAGTACGGAACGGGGATTTCTCCTCAAGGCAGAGGCTTAAGTAAGGAAGATTTTAGCAATTATCCTCCGGTGCAACAGCTGCTCTCCATGTGGAAAAGATATTTTATTAGTCTAGCGTTTTTTGGTACTTCATAACTTAAACTTCTGAAAGGACGGTGAACATTCCCCTTGTAAAAACCTTCGCTTGGCTTCTAATTCTGAAATATTAACAATAGCCAAGATAACTATCCAAGTGTTCTTCGGAAGCATTCAGGTGCTGGCCCTGCCTGATTTGGGTGACAAATTCTATAATATCAAACAAGCTCTTTGCATAAGGAAGTTCTCTAGGAAGATGTGAAATCCTTCCCTAAAGGAAGCCCGCCAGAATTTGGTATAGGAGAAAGAAAGAAAGAAAGAAAGAAAGAAAGAAAGGAAGGAAGGAAGGAAGGAAGGAAGGAAGGAAGGAAGGAAGGAAGGAAGGGAGGGAAAGAAAGAAAAGGAAAGAAATAGAGAGAGAGAAGGAAGGAAAGAAAGAGAGAGAAGGAAAGAAGGAAAGAAAGAAAGAAAGAAAGAAAGAAAGGGAAAGAAAGAAAAGGAAAGAAATAGAGAGAGAGAGAGAGAGAAGGAAGGAAAGAAAGAGAGAAAGAAAGGAAGGAAAGAAAGAAAGAAAGGAAGAAAGGAAGGAAGGAAAAGAAAGAAAAGGAAAGAAAGAAAAGGAAAGAAATAGAGAGAGAGAGAAGGAAAGAAAGAGAGAGAGAAAGAAAGAGAAGAAGAAAGAAAGAAAGAAAGAAAGAAAGAAAGAAAGAAAGGAAGGAAGGAAGGAAGGGAAAGAAAGAAAAGAAAAGAAATAGAGAGAAGGAAGGAAAGAAAGAGAAGGAAAGAAGGAAAGAAGGAAAGAAAGAAGGAAAGAAAGAAAGGGAAAGAAAGAAAAGGAAAGAAATAGAGAGAGAGAGAGAGAGAGAAGGAAGGAAAGAAAGAGAGAAAGAAAGGAAGGAAAGAAAAAGGAAGAAAGGAAGGAAGGAAAAGAAAGAAAAGGAAAGAAAGAAAAGGAAAGAAATAGAGAGAGAGAGAAGGAAAGAAAGAGAGAGAGAAAGAAAGAAAGAAAGAAAGAAAGAAAGAAAGAAAGAAAAAGAAAGAAAGAAAAGGAAAGAAAGAAGAGGGAGGGAGGGAAGGAGGGAGGGAGGGAAGGAAGGAAGTTGACTGAAGTTAACAACCTGCTATCTACTTCATAAACATAGCAAACTCATTAATGATTGAGTAACTTGTGTACAGGATCTCTGAGGCAAACAGAAGCATTTCAACTCTATATATGAGATCACTTAGCTCTAAAAGTGTGTTGCTGTAACCCAGTTCCCAGATGTTTGCTACTAACTCAGCTATAAACTGGGCCAAGAGTAACTTGACCAACATAATCAGGGCACCAACATCATCTGAACAAGGGTCTCCCGACTGTAACTCCCATTCGAATTTCTGCTTTATCTAGATTAGTATTCTTAGGCTGTGGATCTGACCCTTGAAGGGAACTATAATCCGATTCAAAACAGGTTTAAATCCCGTTCCTGGACCTGCCTGTGTCCTAACCAGCGGCCTTTTCAATCTCTTTCTCCACCTGAGCAGCTTTAAGACGTGTGGACTTCTTTAAGTTTAATTTCCCCTCTCTATTCAAACTTAAATAAGACATTTGAAGACAGGTTATATGGTGATTTAATAAGATGATTTTCATAAATATAACTGAAATATAAGCCGATTAGAAAAGAGGTTATAGGCCGAGCTAACTGTCATTTGTACAAACACAAGAAAAATGTTTATATTTAACTGTGTTATGTACTGAAAGTATTAAGAATTATATTTGTTAAATGCCGATAAAAGGAGAATAATAGTGGAAGAAGAGAAGACCAAGGAAATACATTATGAATTAACACATTGATTATGGAATTATAGAAATTAATTATTATTGATTGTTTTTGAAATACATGAACCCAGACAACACACTTACTAAGTACTAAAGATTGTTATTTTAAAAAATCAATTATATATATATATATATAAGATATATAATTGATATATCTTGAAAAAGAAAAAGAAAAAAAAAAAGAAAACTTGGCTTAATTAGAAAGCACCAGAAAGTTTGCTTTATTTGTTTTGGGTTATTATGGGAGAAACATATGCATCTCATTTATCATCGTTCTAGGAAGTTTTCAAAAGCACCGCTTGGATTTCCTGCACTTTCAATAACAACAACAAAAACAACAACAACAACAAAAAGGTAAAATTTATGTTGGGGTTGGGGAGGAGAATAGGAAATGTGTAAGTGTGTTGCATTTTCAACTCAAGGTGCAATCTGTCTTCACAGGCAACCTTTCCGAGGTAGTGCATGCATAATTCTGTATTTATGTATGTATGTATGTATGTATGTATGTATGTATGTCATACTTATGTAGTGTATATCGGAGGTGGTGACTCTTTGAGAGCTGAACGCAACGAAATTTCATTTTAATGTATGCCGATTAGTGTACATTCAAAGTGACAATAGTTATCATTCTATTCTATTCTATTCTATTCTATTCTATTCTATTCTGTTCTATTCCTTATTCTATTTTTAATTCTAATTCTATTCTAATTCTAATTCTATTCTATTCTATTCTGTTCTGTTCTATTCTAATTCTATTT